CCTCTTGGGATTACTACAGTAGAACAATGGTCAGCGGACCTTTAAAATGTTTGCAGGCCGCCGACATGCCGCTCACGTGCGTCTCAAAGTCGTGGGGCGAAAAATGTAGGCACTGGCGATTGCGGCAAACATCCGTCATCAAAACCTTCTTGTCTTGCCACCTCTACGCCTTCCCCTCAGCGACCGTGGCGATCGTTGGAAGCTGGGTGTCGCTGTTTCTAACGTAGGTGTTTGATTTCCAGACCCCTTCTCCCAGTTACATGCCGTGAACGGCTCGACTTTTCTTGTCGTGCCACACAGATCCTTTTCGATACCACTGTTCTCACCACCGCCTAGATTCAGAAATGGATGCAACTGATGACCCTCCCGCCCTCGATGTGCAGGAACTTTGGTACCATATCCTCGGCTTCCTTCGCGGCAGAACGTCAGATCTAAAGAATCTGGCACTGGTCTCTCGCGCCATGTGTCCAGCCGCACAATCCGTGCTCTTCTATGATATTGATTTGGTGCCCTACGCATTCGAGCAGGACGACATGACCCACATTGACCTTACATCCTACCATTTCGACATTACGTGCCGTCGTTTGGGCTCAGTCCTAGCCGAGTCCCCCCATCTTGTCAAATACGTCCGTCGTTTGAAAGTCATGTTGACTTCAGATGTTCTCCACCAATTGTGTTCCATGGGTCTCACCTCACTCCGCGACATAGAAATGATATTCCCAGGTTTCCGCCTTGACGACTCCCTCATCGACCCTATTCAAAATTTCATCTCTCTGCCTTCCGTCCGACGAATTGAGCTCGGCTCCCCCATCTCAGCTGGAATGTTCTCCGGAGCTATTTCACATTTGACTGCTCTCTCATTCCACTGCGTCGAAACATTCAAGCACGAAACCACCCCGGGAATACGGAAGGCTGGAGCGCGACGTCCAAAGATCAAGACTCTGGAGCTTGAGATTTCGGCGCCTCTTGATGACTGGCTCATCGATCCTACATGTCCATTTGATCTTACGGGGCTCGTAGATGTTGGGATTTGGGTGGGGCATGGGCAAACTACCCCAATGAGCGCCAATCTCCTCAAACTTCTCCACTCCACTCGACTGACGATCGAACGACTGACATTTGCGGCGTGTACGCTCTGATATTCCTTCCTTCTCCATGAATCTCACGCTGGGGGTTTCCCCGATCCTAGATGATTTCGAACAGCGTCCTGTGGACCTCGGCCAGTTCCCCAACATGACTCATTTTCACGTCCACGCCAAAAATGCGTGTCCCCTGGCTTTCATCGTACCGAGCGTTCCTAGCCTCGACGGACACAGCGCCCTCAGATATATTACTCTAGGCATTGAACAATTTCGCGATATGGAATGGACGAGCACTGCCAAGCGCGTCGAAGCGAGCTTGCTCAGTATCGACGCCGCGCTCACAAATATATCTCTCCCAGCTCTGGAGCAGGTGGAGATTCGTTTGGACGTGGTCTCCGCTCCCGAGACTAAGAAGAGGAGCCTTTCACAGAGAGAAGTGATATTCAGGCGAGCGCTACCGAACCTCAGTGCCAACGGAATCCTGTCGATTGTAATGGAATCTGAATGGATCTACCCCCGAACGGAGATTAAAAGGTGAGACAGGTCAGACCTTCCAGTTCGTTTCTCGTTGCTGAATTCGTCTTCCAGGCCCTGGTGAAATTCGCTTCGACTCTGCGCGCCGTCTAAATCAGTCAACAATATTTTTTCTTGTTATATTCGGCCTCAAATGTCGGTCACGAATTCTTTTGTTCTTTGAACACTGTATATATGAAAGCGTACGAGAGGAGGGAATCAACCATTGGCTTTCTTCCGTATTGTTTCCACAGTTATGGTGCCGACGTGCAAATGCCAACGGAACTTCTCGAGCGCGCATAGAACGGATTAGTGACAGAATCACCCCATCCTACTGAATTACTAGTACACTTGTACACTACTTCCCGAGCGTCGCCCTTCAAATTGATTCAGACGTGCACCGCCTGCTCTTGCGCGAAATAACGTCAACCACGTTTCATGACGCCGGGTCTCCGAATCCTCATCCGACTACCCAACGCCGCGCCCTCACGCCCCAACACGGCTTACCAGCCTCTCCCACAGCTTCTCGCGATTCGCCCTGTCCGCGGCCCACGCACCGAGCTTCCCCGGCGCGAGCCTGCTGCCGAAGTAGCGCCCAGTAACGCTGGAGGGGGGCGCGGTGAGAATCTGCAAGCGTGCGTCAATACGTGTCGGGGTAAAAGGCGATGGGGAGGAGAAGTGGTGAGTGGTGGAGGGCGAACGACGTGATAGAGCAGTCGAGGTGGTAAAACATGGGGAAAGGAAAGGAAATAAGAGGAACGACGGAAAGAGAAGGAAGGCCAGAACGGCGACGCACATAAGTGGGCAAGACGGCGTACTGGTCGGGCGTCGTGCCAACGAGCACCATCGCCATGCGTACGGCATACTTGAGAAAACCGGGGAAGAGGTCGAAGTCGAACTCCTCGCTCGCGACGAGCCCTGGGGCGCAGAATCAGCGTCAGCGCGTTCGGGCGGGGGGCGGAGTGGATTCTGGGATGAAGGTAGACATGCCTGGATAGAGGTGGAAGTACCGGTACTGCGGGTACCGCGTGTTCAGCTCCTGCGTGTCCGCGTCAATCCGTCAGCCAAATCATAAGGAGAATAGAATGAGAACGCGCCCCCGCACCTCGTGAAACGCATCGAGCACGCAGCTGTCCCGTGCCGACTGCGCCATGAAGAACGCCGTCTTGCCCGCCCCCGCTGCGTACTTGGCCTCGAGCGAGAGGTCGTCGACGGAGAGGTCGGCGAGCGTCTGCCCCTGGTTCGCGACGGACATGACGGTCGCACCGGGGGCAAGCGCGCCGCGTGTCGTGAGGAGGTACGCGAGGGCGAAGCGCGAGAGGGCCTGGATTGCGAAGCCCATTTCGTCCCTGCGCACCCGTGACAATATTGGTTAACGTTCAGAAAGAATGGATAGGCTAGGCGATGGCGCACCCGTCTGCATTTCTGCTGATGGTCCCGGAGGGCACACCGCTCTGGGTCATCACCTGCGGGTGTATCAGTATTTGAACCTCTTACAAAAGGCACTGAAAGCGCACGAAGTAATCGATCCCCGCTTCCCCGGCCGCCTTCTGCAGCGCCTCTGCTGCCGCGCGCATACCCTTGATGTCCCTAATGTCCCTCGTCAGCCTGCAATTTCACTCACACGCAAAACACGCACGACACATCCCCCTTGACGAACCCCGTCTGAATCTCGGTGCCCTTCGGCGCAAGCCCTTTGAGAACTTCGCACACAGCCAGACCGCGCGCCTCGTTCCGCCCACAGATGATGATGCGGCTGCAGCCCAGCTTCGCGAGGTGGCGCGCGATGGCGGCGCCAATGCCGAGCGACCCGCCCACGATGACGGCGGTCTTGTGCTGCCCGGCGAGCGAGACCCGCTTCAGGGCTTTCGCGGCGCTGGCGGGCTTGCTGGGAGAACTTGTGGCGAGAACGGCAGCGGTGCCGATGGCGAGTGCTCCGCCGACGATGAAGGCCGTCTTGTGCTGCTGGCTTGCGAGAAAGACAGTCTCCAGTAGTTTGGCAGCGTTGGTGGTCATTGTGTGGCGATGATTATCGAAGGGCGCGGATGGAGGCGTTTTTAAAGGTGAAGGTTGATGTTTGGTTCTGATTCGGTAATCACTCGGAAACCTATCCGCCGGGAATTGCCGAGAAATCAACACCTTGCCGCATTTCATGCCTCGCCGCATCCAAGGCCCCGGAATAGAGAAGAGGGATGAACGAATATTTTTCCTGTTTCCACAAGTGCAAGAAGCCACCAACTAAACAATTCGTTGAACAATATCTCAGACCGTTCGGCAGTCTTGCCGATTTATGAGATGCGCTGACGCGATCGGAGCTCTAACCGCCTGGTCATGGTCGACCTCGTAGGTGGCGAATTGTAAGCAATAGACATCTAAGTCAGCAGGGAATTCCAGTACTCCCACGCGAATTGTCCCTCCGTTTGGAAACCGTGCATTTATCCTGGAGCCTGGAGGTAGTACTCCTGCAAGATATTCGCTAGAGTCGAAGAAAGACAAAGAAGACGGCAAACGCTCTCGACATTTGCCAGGCGCGTAGATTTCCCTTTAAATCACGATTCAAATCGTCCGACCAATGCGCTTATACCGCGCCCAAGGCTCTGAGGCTGGCTCTCTCACATCACATACATGCACCGGAATGTATTAGTTCTGTCCGTAAGGCCAATGTACCAAAATCTTCGAGGATGGCAAAAGGAATCATAAAGCCGACAACTATAGCTCAGACCCGAGTCGAACGGGCAACGTCTGCTGAACACTTGGATACACACTTTATCAGGTGCAGATGCAGGCCACCCTGCTCCAAGCTGGTTGATTTACAGGCTCCCTATGGTCATTATGGTCGAGTTCCTGGTCCCTGTTTGACTGGAGGTTCAGTCTCAGAATCGTTCGGTATGCATATAGACAGAATTTCAGAGATGCGCTTTCGGCCTCCCGCTCGACTTGAAGTCCGGAGAAGTAAATGAACTGAAGCCACTGGCAGGCCATATCGCCGATCCTTGCTTGTCAAAGATGTGCATGTGTCTCTCAGGTTCTGCCAACTTATTGGTATCTTCAAGGATCCCGAATAGATGAGGGAGAGGAACAAGTGCAAAAAGTGCACAAGCAATTGACCGCTTTTCTTGTGCAGCTATTAGCGCGTCATATGGGAGCGAGCTAGAAGTAAAATGGAACACGAGACGAACTACGGAACTCCTGGTAGTATAGTAGAGCGAATGTAAAATAATGCCTGACTCCAGTAATAGCTTCGCCCGGGGCCCGAATCGAACGGGCGTGAACTTCGAGGGTTTCTCCATGAGAAGAACAGCTGCGTAAACCACTCTGCCACCGAGCCGTCTTGTTATCACGTCCGACGCAAAAGAGGGCTTACCACAAAAGAAAGAAACAGAATGATCATCGAAAAAGATATATTGGCTCGGGCCCGAATCGAACAGGCATCTGCTACAGACGACATGGACTCCATCACACAATGTGTAGCTGCATACCGCTCTGCCACCGAGCCATTAAGTGGAACAGCCTGAGGTCTAACAGGGACACAACTGTGAGATCTTTTGTTTTGATCTTGACATCGAACGCAATATACAGCCTGACATCGGGACCATACTCTATGAAACTCGCCACGGTGTGACTTAGAGAAGTAAATGGAATACGCCGAAGGGGAAAGATGAGAACAGAAAAACACAAAATAAATGAAATCCGAAGTACTCGAGCACGGCTTGGGCCCGAATCGAACGGGCATCCACTGCAGAAACATCGACTTCGCCGTATACGAATAACACGCAGCTGCATAACCACTCTGCCACCAAGCCAGCATCTTCTGAGAAACCATATAGAGAGCTGAGAAGTGTACCCACAACGAAGTCTTATTTACCGAAGTCACGTCGATGGCAGTGCTCGGCGCTCTAGGCAGAATACACAGCGGAAATATTTATGAATCGTCGTCGAGTTCGTTCCCGTACCCATCTCACAGATTCAACTATAGCTCGTCTCATGGATTCTGAGACGTACCATGGGCCGGGAAGTAGTCCAGATGGGACTATTAATCGGAGGACGTGCAGAATTCATTTTACACATCAAAACCAGATGCAAAACGTATCCAAGAAGAAGATGAATGATTCGTCAGAGGTTCCCTACATATGTACAACGAGCACCAAAATTTGGTGAGCCGCTGCGGCGAAGGCAAATACAAGCAAGAAAATATGTAGTTGACAGATTTTAGCTGGAAGACCGAAGAGCCTCGAAGCGAATTTCACAAGTCCCTGGGACGTATACTCAGCAGTGTAAATCGTACTCTGAGCGGAGTCTCACCTCTTAATCCGTGTTCTGGGGTTTATCCATTCAGACTCCATCACGATTGACAAGATTCCTTTGGTATCGATGTTCGGTAGCGCTCGCCTGAACAGCACTTCTCTCTCCGCGGCACTCATCTGCTGATCTCTGGGAGGGTAGACGACATCCAGGCAGATCTCCACCTGCTCCAGAGCCGGGAGAGATATATCTGCGAGCGCGGCATCGATGCTACGGAGCTCCGCTTCAACCCACTCTATTTCGTTCAATCGTTCGATGCCGAGAGTAATATATTGAAGGGAGGTGTGCCCGTCGAGGCTAGAAAGGCTGGGGATGACGAAGGCCAGGGGAGATGGGTTTTCGGCGTGGAGGTAAAAGTGGGTCATATTATGGAACTGCCCAAGGTCGATAGGGCGCTCCTGAAAATCATCTAGGTTTGGGAGAAGCCACGGCGTTAAATTGACAGTACAGTGCAGGAAGGAAGATCAGGGCGTACAGGCCGCAATCGTAAGTCGTTTGATCGTCGATCGAGCGGTGTGAAGAAGTCGCAGGAGGTTGGTACTCATCGTTCTCGATCGACGAATGTCCACTTCGATTTGAACATCGACAAGCCGGGTGAAATCGAATGGACATGTGGGGCCGACAAGCCAGTCATCGAGAGGCGCTGAACCGGCAAGCAGCAGGGTCTGGATCTCTGGACGTCGTGCGTACCGTGATACCGGAATGGATACAGATGCGGGTGTAAATGTGTGAACACACACGAACGAGAGACCAGTCAGATGTGGAACACATTCGGAGAAGAGTCCGGGTGACACGTGCGAGCTGAGCTCAATTCGTCGGATGGAGGGAAGGCTGAAGAGATTTTGAAGAGGTTCGATGAGAGAGTCGTCAACGCGGAAATTCTGGAACTGAATTTCGATGTCTCGCAATGAGGTAAGACCCACGAAGCATAATTGATCGAGAACGTCTGGGGTCACCGTGACTTTGAGACGGTGGATGTATTTGACGAGATGGGGGGATTTGGTTAGGACTGCGACCAAAAGGCGGCACGAGGCGTCGAAGTCTTGGGTTGTGAGATTACTCATGGAATCTTTCTCAACTATGCGGGGCTCCAGATCAATATCGTAAAATAGCACCGATTGTGCGGCTGGACACATGGCACGAGAGACCAGTGCCAGATTCTTTAGATCTGACGTCCTTCCGCGAAGGAAGCCGAGGATATGGTACCAAAGCTCCTGAACGTCGAGGGCGGGCGTAGGATTGATTAAATCCATATTTGGATCTAGACGGTGGTGAGAACATGTACAATGACAAATTAAATGGTCGTGACTCGGAGCGAATTGAAAGACTAGGCGGCCTCGTGCCAATACAAAGACAAGCGCTCCAATGTAGTTGAAGCTGGAATCCACCTACGATGGGGAAGGAGATCGATTTCCAAAATCTCTGCGCTCTAGTAGGAGGAGGTTCGTGGAAGGAGCAGAGGGAAGCGAGCAGGCGTCAGAATTTTTTTTGATGGCCGCGTGTTTGGGCTCGGCCGAAGCCACGTCGAGGCTGATAGCATCATAGTGGCCAAACAGGGAGCACCGCCACGGTTCCGTGTAGTAAGCTTCAGAACGAGGCGCAGCGCACCCGGCTTCCCCCGCGCCCCATCCTACACGCCCACCACGTCGCCGTCCAGAACGGCTAGGACAGTGGTCACATTATCGTTAATTCCGTATGCTGGAATTAACCTGTTTGCGCAGAACCCATTGGAGCCATTCAATGGCATTTGGGCCGTGCGCAAAAATAGCAGGCGAATGGCTCCATAAGCCATTGACAAGCCATTGACGTCATATTTTGGCGGTGGAACCATTCATTTGCGCACTGGCAAAAGCCATCAGGTGGCCCCAATGGCTCGTGCGCAAACTCTCTATTGGTTTTCTCATTTGTGGGCCCTTTGAAGCGTCTTTCTAAGATAAACTGCCTGATTCGTCTCTTTCCTTTCCTTTTCCATTCGGGTGGTGGAAGTGTGCGTCTGCGAGCCGCAGCCCTCGATGTTACAGCACGGGGCGCACTCGATCGGCTGGCCGTTTCTCAGATTGGCATACGCACCTCTACCGATCCATAGGCACGGCGAACGAGTACCCGCCCGCCACAGTGTGCGCCGGTGCGTCTTTAGCACACGTTGTCTTGGCTGAGAGCGCTGATGAGTGCGTTTTGCCCCCCCCGGACCGGCTGCCTGCTTTCAAGGCGACGTATTCTCCGTGCGTCTCGCGCCTTCCTTTGAAGTTTTGGTGTTGGTGCTATCGTAGCCCATCGCTGTGGCTGCAAACAGTGCTGGTCTCCTCCTCCTCCCGGGCCTTTCTCTGGACTTTCTGAGGCGGCTGCAGCGCGGACACCACATGCTCCCCCGCCACATACCGACCTATGTATGCGGGCGCCGCGAGGCTTGCGCAGGGACCTGGCACATTTCTATGCGATGCGCGCTGTTCGCCAGTTCACCACTTCGCTCGTGCTGTTCCAATCTACACGACCAGACGGTGATCCCTCGTGTGCTGCCAATATTCATGGCCGTACCTCACCCTCGTCGCTTGAATATATCAAAACGAAGAAAGCCGAAACAGCGCACACAACTCCGGCTCCGCTGAAAATAAAGCTCCTTCCTCAGACTCTAGCTCACGCCTGTATTCGGCATGGCAAAACTCACAGATGAAAGAAAGGAGCGAAGGAGCCTTACAACGGCTCGGTGGCGGGTGGTACACACTTGCAATGTATAACTGTTCTACTTTCCTCGTACAGCAGGAGCGCCCGTTCGACTCGGGGCTGAGCCAGGCTCGGGAATCGAATTTTCGTCTTTTTGGGCGGGTGCAAAGACAACCATGCTTGTTGTGCCGATTCATGCCCTGCTTGGCCGGTGAGTTGAAATCATTTTGATTTCTAGCTTCGTGCGAGCCTGACTCTTCGTTCGTTGAATAACAGAATCTCGACGGTAAGGGAAGGAAGGAAATGAACCTTACATCGGCTCGGTGGTGGAAGGCCCACGCTTGCGGCATATAACGGCTCAAGATCTATTGCGTACAGCAGGCACCCCCGTTCGACTCGGGCTTGAGCCATGCAGGTTGACATGTGGACTTTTTTGTCCTGAGGACAGTTGGACGGCAGACGAGTTTTGTCCTCGAGCAGAAGTATTAGCTGCTATTCCGCGGCTAAGTCCTGCGTCGGAGAAATAAATTAATTGCTTCGTGAGTTACTGCGAAACCGAGTTCATTCACTCGGGGCTGAGGCACGGACATTACGAAGTGAACTTTTTGGTCGTGAGAAAAATTAATTACTTCCTGCGAACTCAGGTCTCAAGGTAAGGGAGCGAGGGGCCCATACATCGGCTCGCTGGCGGACGGTCCGCGCCTGCAGCTTGTACATCTGTGCGGCAGGATCAGCCGGAGCGCCCGTTCGACTCGGGTTCGAGCCATGAGTAGAGAGAAATTGTTTTTGGCGCAATGACCATTTTGACTGCGGGGATATTTGGTTGGAGTAGTAATTTAAAACATGAAGATCATAGTGAAGGGGAGAGCGCCTGGGCGATGGACGGTCTACGCTGCCGTTTTGTAAGCTTTCAACAGACCACAGAGAGTGCAGCCAGCCAAAGGGCGAATTGCTCCAACAACGAGGCGCCAAGTTGAACCACTCGTACAGTGGCCTATGATTAATCATTCGGACCGAAAGATTTTTGGTTAGGCCGTGTACCCAGGGGATGGGTCGTCGGAGAGACCCAGGGCCCACTCAAAATTCATTTGCGCCTCCAACTCGCGAATCCGCGCTGCCTGCGCCTCGTTACGCTCCCTCAGCTGTGCAACCAGGTCCGACGAGCCGGGCAGCGTGCGCGTCGTGGATGCGCTCCGGGTCGACAGCATGCGCAGGATGCGGCTGGGGACCGATGCCTCTGTTGCGTTTGTGGACCAGGTGCGCCGCTCCAGTTCTTCGAGATCGACCATCTTCTCCTGCGCGGCGCGCAACTCGTGTTGAAGGAACTGTTGGCGGACGGTGCTCGCGCTGATGCTGCGCGCATCACTGTTTTCTAGCGGAGGGCAGTGGAAGCGTCGGCGGTGCGACTCCAGAATGGAGTAAGATAAATGGGGAGGCTGCGAGCGCGCGGTGTTTGGTTTTCGCCACCCGCTGTCGCCGTCGGACGACCCAGAGGACGAGTGTCGCGGCCACGACAATTAAGGCGATAATTATCACCGTAAACAGGATGATGGTTCCACCAACCACTGGGGCCGGCGGGTTGCTTCTTCATAAAGAATGAGGGTGAGCGGAGTGGCTAAATTGCGGATTTCACGGTACTAACCTCGCTGTGTATGATAACTTTCGCTCGTTGGTGTCGTCTGCACGGCAGACGGCATGAGTGTACATATCTGGAATATTGCTACGGCATCTCTCAGTCAAATGAACGTCCAATATACATGAGACCCACATAGCCCCCAGGGCTCACTGTCGTGTGCCCGCCAGCGAATTGAACGACAAGCTCGAAGGAAAGGTGGATGGG